CTTGGTGCTGTGGTTCACTGTGAGGAGGGTTCCCTGCTGCTGTGGTTCACTGTGAGGAGGGTTCCCTGGTGCTGTGGTTCACTGTGAGGAGGGTTCCCTGGTGCTGTGGTTCAACCGCCAGTGTTGTCCATTCTATAACTGATATAATGTATGAGGTATATAGTGTTTTGAATTTGTTTGTTTGTGTTTGTGATGGTGGGTGGATGAGTATGAGTATGGCCAGTTATGTCTCTAAATGTGTGTATGCATATTTTTGTTATCAAATGTTATTTTGTGCGTATTTTTGTATGACAGTGTTGTGTGACGCTGTGTGGCCGGGTGTTGTGTGACGAAGTGTGGCCGGGTGTTGTGTGACGGTGTGTGGCCGGGTGTTGTGTGACGCAGTGTGGCCGGGTGTTGTGTGACGCTGTGTGGCCGGGTGTTGTGTGACGCAGTGTGGCCCAGGTGTTGTGTGACGCTGTGTGGCCGGGTGTTGTGTGACGCAGTGTGGCCCGGGTGTTGTGTGACGCAGTGTGGCCCGGGTGTTGTGTGACGCTGTGTGGCCAGGTGTTGTGTGACGTTGTGTGGCCGGGGTGTTGTGTGACGCAGTGTGGCCGGGGTGTTGTGTGACGCAGTCTGGCCGGGGTGTTGTGTGACGCAGTGTGGCCGGGTGTTGTGTGACGCTGTGTGGCCGGGTGTTGTGTGACGGTGTGTGGCCGGGGTGTTGTGTGACGCAGTGTGGCCGGGTGTTGTGTGACGCAGTGTGGCCGGGTGTTGTGTGACGCAGTGTGGCCGGGTGTTGTGTGGCCCGGGTGTTGTGTGACGCAGTGTGGCCCGGGTGTTGTGTGACGCTGTGTGGCCGGGTGTTGTGTGACGCAGTGTGGCCGGGGTGTTGTGTGACGCTGTGTGGCCGGGTGTTGTGTGACGCAGTGTGGCCCGGGTGTTGTGTGACGCAGTGTGGCCCGGGTGTTGTGTGACGCTGTGTGGCCGGGTGTTGTGTGACGGTGTGTGGCCCGAGTGTTGTGTGACGCTGTGTGGCCAGGTGTTGTGTGACGCTGTGTGGCCGGGTGTTGTGTGACGTTGTGTGGCCGGGTGTTGTGTGACGCAGTGTGGCCCGGGTGTTGTGTGACGCTGTGTGGCCGGGTGTTGTGTGACGCAGTGTGGCCGGGTGTTGTGTGACGCAGTGTGGCCCGGGTGTTGTGTGACGCTGTGTGGCCGGGTGTTGTGTGACGCTGTGTGGCCGGGTGTTGTGTGACGTTGTGTGGCCGGGGTGTTGTGTGACGCAGTGTGGCCGGGGTGTTGTGTGACGCAGTCTGGCCGGGGTGTTGTGTGGCCGGGTGTTGTGTGACGCAGTGTGGCCCGGGTGTTGTGTGACGCTGTGTGGCCGGGTGTTGTGTGACGCAGTGTGGCCCGGGTGTTGTGTGACGCAGTGTGGCCCGGGTGTTGTGTGACGCTGTGTGGCCAGGTGTTGTGTGACGCTGTGTGGCCGGGTGTTGTGTGACGTTGTGTGGCCGGGGTGTTGTGTGACGCAGTGTGGCCGGGGTGTTGTGTGACGCAGTCTGGCCGGGTGTTGTGTGACGCAGTGTGGCCGGGGTGTTGTGTGACGCAGTCTGGCCGGGGTGTTGTGTGACGCAGTGTGGCCGGGGTGTTATGTGACGCAGTGTGGCCGGGTGTTGTGTGACGCAGTGTGGCCGGGGTGTTGTGTGACGCAGTCTGGCCGGGTGTTGTGTGACGCAGTGTGGCCGGGTGTTGTGTGACGCAGTGTGGCCGGGTGTTGTGTGACGCAGTGTGGCCGGGGTGTTGTGTGACGCAGTGTGGCCGGGGTGTTGTGTGACGCAGTGTGGCCGGGGTGTTGTGTGACGCAGTGTGGCCGGGGTGTTATGTGACGCAGTGTGGCCGGGTGTTGTGTGACGCAATGTGGCCGGGGTGTTGTGTGACGCTGTCTGGCCGGGGTGTTGTGTGACGCTGTCTGGCCGGGGTGTTGTGTGACGCTGTCTGGCCGGGGTGTTGTGTGACGCAGTGTGGCCGGGTGTTGTGTGACGCTGTGTGGCCGGGTGTTGTGTGACGCAGTGTGGCCGGGGTGTTGGCCCCAGTCTTGATAAGGCTAACTAGACCTCAGTCTGATCGAAACATTTTCTGAATGCTGAAGAGTTTGGGGGGGGGGTTGTGAGGGGTGACTGTAATATAATACACTAAAGGCCAAATGTATGTATAAATCAAACCAAAAATATTGTTTGTGTATATTTGCATGTGTAGTCTGATGCTGCTTTCAGGGTACTGTATCTCCTATTCTTGCCCTGCAGGCTAGCCAAATGCTGCGTTCAGAGCATCTATTCTTGTCCAGCAGGCTAGCCAAATGCTGCGTTCAGAGCATCTATTCTTGTCCAGCAGGCTAGCCAAATGATGCTCTCAGAGCATCTATTCTTGTCCAGCAGGCTAGCCAAATGCTGCGTTCAGAGCATCTATTCTTGTCCAGCAGGCTAGCCAAATGCTGCGTTCAGAGCATCTATTCTTGTCCAGCAGGCTAGCCAAATGCTGCGTTCAGAGCATCTATTCTTGTCCAGCAGGCTAGCCAAATGCTGCGTTCAGAGCATCTATTCTTGTCCAGCAGGCTAGCCAAATGCTGCGTTCAGAGCATCTATTCTTGTCCAGCAGGCTAGCCAAATGCTGCGTTCAGAGCATCTATTCTTGTCCAGCAGGCTAGCCAAATGCTGCGTTCAGAGCATCTATTCTTGTCCAGCAGGCTAGCCAAATGCTGCGTTCAGAGCATCTATTCTTGTCCAGCAGGCTAGCCAAATGCTGCGTTCAGAGCATCTATTCTTGTCCAGCAGGCTAGCCAAATGCTGCGTTCAGAGCATCTATTCTTGTCCAGCAGGCTAGCCAAATGCTGCGTTCAGAGCATCTATTCTTGTCCAGCAGGCTAGCCAAATGCTGCGTTCAGAGCATCTATTCTTGTCCAGCAGGCTAGCCAAATAATGCTCTCAGCGCATCTTCTATTTTTGTCCAGTAGGCTCGCCAGATGATGCTTTCAGAGCATCTTCTATTTTTGTCCAATAGGGAAGTCATATAATGCTTTCAGAGTGTCTCCTATTTCTGTCCTGAAGGCTAGCCAGATGCTCCCAGGGTTCGTCCTATTTTTGTCCTGCAGACCAGTGTTGAGTGGCTTGAATAAGACTCTTCCACGCTGAGTAAGCTTGACATGTGTCTTGGGAGGCCACCGTCAAGACTCTCCTCATACATAAATAATCTCCTGCTCAGGCGGTTTTGCTCTGCTTTCAGTATGTTATGTTGTGTTTCTGGTTTGTTTTGTAGAGTTTCCCGTATTCTCGCCGTCTTTTTGCTGTTCTAATCGTAAGTTTTGTTATTCTTATCGAACTTTTGCTGTTTTTCCAGATTGTTTTCTGTTCTTACAGTGGCCTTCGCTGTGTCTTACATGCATCTCCATAATGGCAATGATCTTGAGCGTCGGTGATCCACAAGGCAGATGAATGTGGCTTGCAAAGACTGTCATCTGTCCACTGAAGAAGAATTCTACCGACCTGTCCTCTCTGGCATAATATTTCTCATGTGACTGCTGTACTCACCTATTTGTGCCTGCAGGATCGAGTATTGACTCTTGGATCCCGCCTTTCTAGGCATCTGTTTGAAAAAGTGTGCTGTGTTTGGTGACCCGTACACATCCCGCTTATGTTTACATGGGAATTGAATTTATCCAATACTCCGACTCCTCGAGAACAACGCACATCAATGCCCCCCAGTGGACCGGTCGGCTGGCCAATGCTGACTTGAGGCAGACAAGCAATGGAGGGGTCGGCATCTCTGGTGTGTCATCTAACACTTCAGTGGTCACCTGCTTGTGCTTCATGTTACCCCTACAGGTACTTATGTACCTATACCTTCCCTTGAGGAATTCTCTATTACCCTGAGGCTTGTGGGTAGTGCCCAATCCTATCAGTCTTCTGATAGAAGGCCACTTCAGGATAAGCCCTGCATCCCTACTGGATCTAGGAGCCCAGTTCCCTCCGGTTCACTCTTGTTCTTGAGGACGTTAACCGGAGCTTGTAAGAATGCCATTAGTGGCCATTTTCCAAATATCCGATATCATGGAGTTAGGAGGTTCATTACCAAGATTATGCCTTTCCAGGGTGTATGAACCCTCAGTATTAGTCAATCCTTTTTCAGACATTCGACGGAAAATAAATTGTTAAAGTAAAGATATTTGTGTTCAATATTTTTTAATCTCTGTGTTCGGAGGGTCTAAAATAATCATCTAGGCATATGACAATTTGTCGCTGAGGACTCATAACTTGAGTATTGACAAAATTTGTCAAATATTTATATGATAGCTGCAGTCTCAGAAACATACCAAAATGATTCAACAGAGCTAGAGAACCAAAAGGTTATGAAGGTTGAAAAAGTTACGCAAATAATTGGGTGTGAAATCATCCCTGATGCTTATGGATCATGACCTTTGATGGCCACAATTAACCTAGGATTATTAAGGCAGGTTTACAGTAAAGTCATGTGTATCTTATTTGTGTAGAAATTAATAATGCCAGACTTATTATCATGTCACTGGATTTTGTTAAAAATGAATTAAAAATATATGTGTAAATGGGGGTTTCTTGTACAGCTAGACACATCATATAAACAGTCACAACCATCACGTAAATAGTCACACTATCATGGTACACTGTGTTGCTTCCTTTGCTACGGAAAAAATGTTGCCTCCTTAAACCAGAAATCGCGAAATATTATAGGTATTAAAAATGATATCTTGCCACTAAGGTCAATGAGGAACTTCGGATGAAAACACTGCTCTATACCATGGAAAATCTTGTGCTTAAACCTTTCTAAATTATTTCCTTACCACACTACGTGAATAATGGTGTCATCTTTCCCTCCGACTCCATCAATGTTTACACGCCATCATAAAGAAGATGAAGTGGATTGGACCTAAAGGACCGTGGGACTCTCTTGGTTCTATCTGCTAAAATTCAGCTTTAGATAGCCTTCAAAGGCTAATTGAAAGCTTCCCGAGTACCAGCTTCAGTGGGCACTCCAGCCTCGGCAGCGCCAGTCTGTGTTGAATCAGCTGCACGTGAAAGGGAAAGTTAGCCTTTGGAGTCCACCATGAGCTAGAATGCTCCTTACGTGTCAGCTTCTGTGGTACCAACTACTCTACAATTTCGGCCTCCAGTGACACACCTATAATTAGTGGGGGCGGCGTGTGTATGAGCGAGAGTGTAGTGGTCTCACCCCCACTGACCAAGTGGCTCACCTGAAGGAAAGTCAAGCCCAGGCACGCCTAAGATTTGGACTGCTATCAGGCATAGCCATCATATAGGAGTATGCTGGTCTGCAGCATGTAAGTACTTCTGGTAATAGGCAATAGGCACGGTGGCACTACACAGTTACCTCAACCAACTTCACCTCTTGAAGTCACTCACTGTCATTCGGTGATTTTTAAATTTGAAATAGATTTTCCGCCTTTGGGGGTCTTGGCAATGGGTGGCTTGTCCATGTAAGAATATATAGATGTCATTCAGGTGGATAAGACTGGTTCCTCGTTTGTATACAAATAATACCAACTCAGTTTATTGACCAGTGGTGGTACAGGTGGGACCAGTGATGGTACAGGTGGGACTAGTGGTGGTACAGGTGGGACCAGTGGTGGTACAGGTGGGACCAGTGATGGTACAGGTGGACCAGTGGTAGTACAGGTGGGACCAGTGATGGTACAAGTGGCACCAGTGGTGGTACAGGTGGGACCAGTGGTGGTACAGGTGGGACCAGTGGTGGTACAGGTGGGACCAGTGATGGTACAGGTGGGACCAGTGGTGGTACAGGTGGGACCAGTGATGGTACAGGTGGGACCAGTGATGGTACAGGTGGCACCAGTGGCGGTACAGGTGGCACCAGTGGTGGTACAGGTGGCACCAGTGGTGGTAGTCCAGAGCTGGGTCTTTTTTTTATAGACTGACCTTCTCTCATAACTTTATTAAAAATTAATTAAGGATTGTTTAATAATTTGTAATGTAGTTTTGTCAGCTCTATTTTTTTATTTGTTTCTTATTTATATTTTTTCGTGTTTTATTATATAGGTGTTTATTTGTATGGTGATGTGTTTAGCGGCGGCACTGACACCTTTGTTGCGGTGCCAGTGTTTAATCAATCACTGTCAATTGCAGTGCTTACAATCTTTTTGTTGTGTACAGTTTTTTCCGTCTATTTGTTCCCTTTCTCTTCATTCGCATGGATATTGTTTTATTAGTAAAGTATATTTTTATTAATAATTCACATGAATAATTTCCTGTCTTTGAATGTTTTTTTTGCCAGACTTCAGACTTTTTCTGTTCATCTCTCACTAATCGCTCTGGGGGTCTGACCTCGTGTTCATTCTCACTTTATTGCGTCCTAAGGTTTGCTCCGCTCCGTCTGTCTTCCCTCTTATCCCTACTTTCTTCCCCATTCTCTTAACCAATTCCTCTACTTTCTTTTACATTCTCCCCATCTTATCCTCTTGTTCTTCCGTCGTTCTGCTTTGCTATTCCTTCCCTGCCATCTTGAATAAATTCTAACCCCGAAAATATTCTCTTGTGATACTTAACTAACTTTTGTGTTGCATCTTTAGGGCATTATCTGACTTTTCTGTTGCATCGATTGGTCCCCGTGTTGCATCGATTGGTCCCCGTGTTGCATCGATTGGTCCCCGTGTTGCATCGATTGGTCCCCGTGTTGCATCGATTGGTCCCCGTGTTGCATCGATTGGTCCCCGTGTTGCATCGATTGGTCCCCGTGTTGCATCGATTGGTCCCCGTGTTGCATGACAACATGGGTCAGACGGGAGCATACAAGGAGGGACAAATAGCGAGAGCATTCAAATGATTGATGATGTTTTTAGTGGAAATGAGTAGCTAGGAGCATCCATGTTGGCATCGCAGCATAGTTGTTAGCTGCCAACGTCCTGCCCTTGTGAACATGTATAATACTTGCTGTTCATTATTCACATGAAATTGCAACATATTTGTGTAAATAGATATATTTTGATGTTTATTTAGAAAACTAACAAAAATGGGTGATTGTGTATCACTGTTCAACCGTTTATTTTGTTCATGCGGCCGACTGCGTGATGCAGAGAGCGGCTGCTTGTCTGAACGTTAAAAGAAGGTTGATTAAAATGAGAAAATTAAGTACAAGATTAGATTTCAGTAATATCTTAATGAACACGTCGTTAAACAGTCTTGAATTAATGCTTGGATCTGCACTCTCCTTGCAGGTCCTTGTATACATTGAGTTTTAAATGCTTTTAGGTGAAATTTTTTGAAGTTTTGTTTATGTATTTTAGTCAAATTTGTCATTTTATGGTCACATATTTTTCCCGGATATAATTATGCTTAGTTTACTAACTTTGATGTAACGTTATATTTCAACATTATTTTTGCAATTGCAGTTGTACATGAAACTCAGAGTCACTTGTGTAAGTGGCAGTGTTGTTTTGTTCATTGTGGTTAGTTTGTTAGTTGCTTCATTGTTAGTGTAGCGTTTCCTTCACTGCTGTTAGTGCAGCCTTTGCTTTTTTTTTATTTTGAGAATGTGATTTTCATATTTAGTTTAAAATACTTCAGGGTATTGATATTTTTTCCTTATATATATATATATATATATATATATATATATATATATATATATATATATATATATATATATATATATATATATTAATATAATTTGTTAGTTCGTGATATTTGTTTTTCGTTGTTATAATTTTTACTTAGCGACTGCAGTTTTTTAAATACTTTCCTTGATAATTAAACAGATTCTTCCAAATGTATTATTTTTTAATTTTGTCAAGAAGGGTGAGTTCATAACTCACTGCGAGAGAACATGTAGTTCTCACCCTTCCCGAGAGAACATGCAGTTCTCACCCTTCCCGAGAGAACATGCAGTTCTCACCCTTCCCGAGAGAACATGTTGTTCTCACCCTTCCCGAGAGAACATGTTGTTCTCACCCTTCCCGAGATAAAGAAAGCACACTTCATTGTTCATTCTGTGGTTGTCTCAGCGGTCTGGCTCCGTGAGCTGTCACTATTTGACGTCTCTGTTCCGGTGTTCTGTTCTTTGAGTTTGGTTTATTATAGTTTTGTTTCTGTTAATGTTGTGATTGTGAGTATTTTGACTATTGGTGTCTCTTAACAACGTCTTGTTTGAATTTTCTGTCAGACCAAATATTAACTTTAACTCTAAATTGTATTTTTTTCTTAGATTCGGTTTAATTTTATTAGGTTCATTTAACTAATAATATTATAAAATAATGTAAACTTAAGTTTATTCTTAACAAATTAAATCATATCGACTAAAAGAGAAACAAATCTTTTATGGCCTAATGTAACCTGGTTTTATTAATCCCATCCAAACCTTGTATTTTTTCCTTAGCTGATTCATATCTTTTCTTTCAAATTAAAGTACTAAATCTTCACTCGTGCGTCTGTCCGCTCTGAGTTAATCTCTAAAATATACTCATCGCTCCTTGTTTTGAGTACAGCTCTCATAAATGGGAAGTTACCCATCAACCAAAATTATTGATGTAATTCAGGAGAAAGCTATTAGTTTCATCAATTCTCTTGACTTAGGTTTTAATCTTCTGAGTCTTCCAGATTAGAGTTGCAATTGTCTCTCTCTCTCGCTCCTCGACGTGGGCGCTTCTTGTGAGGTCGACGTTTGAGCCCTGAGGGCTTCAGGTTGGCCAGCGTCCCATCACCCTTTTCTGCCCTCTGTAATGCTTTTTGCGCTACCGCTCACAGGATGAGTATGGGGTGCACAATAAACTAGCCGCCTCCGGCGGCAACAATCAAAAAACAACCATCACTCCGTGCTCATGTCCCCTCTAGTAATCCTCTCCGCCAAACTCTTCCCAGTATTACGGTCATCGTACCTTGGCGCTTTCTCTTGATAATTACCTCACCTTACCTCCTCTCGTTTCTTGCTTGGCTTCAACTCTCAGGAACTTTTAAATGGTCTACTTAATCTTGTATGGCAACATTATACCCAAAATGTTAATTATACCCAAAATGTTAATTATACCCAAAATGTTAATCTTCTACAAAAAAGGCCCGCCCTTATCTTTACCTTCCTACCTCTCTTGTGATAGGAAGGTACCTTGTGGTACCTTGTGCTAGGTAGGTAGAGCATACACATATATACATATACATATAGACCATGTGTCGTTGTAACTTAATTCAACAAATGTCTTAATAGACACAATCGATCTGTTTTCATCCTAGAAGCTCCTGTGGAGATATTTTCTAGTGGTCTATTCCCACATATAAACAAACCTGTGCAGTCATGAGCAACATGGGAAGTTATGGGCATCACACCATACAGGAACGGTGGTACCTGGACCCCACCTACCCCTTCCCCCTTCCCGCCGGGGGACTGGCCGGGGGACTGGCCGAGAGACTGGCCGGGGGACTGGCCAGCCGGGAGGGACCATCACTAACGAGACAGACGTGTCAGTCCCCCGGCCAGCAGCTCACATCAGGGCTCGCTGTTGATGCAGCTGACGGCTGACACTCCACCCACCTCTCGGGACCTCACCACGTCCGCCGTTCTCTGATAAATTCACTCCCGTAATGTCCATGAAGGGGATGTGTCGGAGGGTCAGATCCTCTGACGTTGCTGCTACTGCTGCTACTGTTGTTACTGCTGATATTATTACTGTTAATACTACTGTTGCCGCTGTCACTGCTACGTGTGTTACTGACTGCTGGTGACGATGAGGAGTAGCAACAGTAGCCGCTTTTGCTATTGTTACTGCTACTGTTGAAACACCTGCGGTTTCAACAAGGCTACTGTTGGTAGCCAACGAGGTACCAAGGCTACTGTTGGTAGCCAACGAGGTACCAAGGCTACTGTTGGTTGAAACACCTGCGGTTTCAACAGTAGAGGTACTGTTACCTCTAATTTCCTTCATACTTTTAGTGTTGTTGGTACCATTACTGCTTGTGCTACCATTACTGTTGGTACTACCATTACTGCTGCTGCTACCATTACTGTTGGTACTACCATTACTGCTGCTGCTATCATTACTGTTGGTACTACCATTACTGCTGCTGCTACCATTACTGTTGGTACTACCATTACTGCTGCTGCTACCATTACTGTTGGTACTACCATTACTGCTGCTGCTACCATTACTGTTGGTACTACCATTACTGCTGCTGCTACCATTACTGTTGGTACTACCATTACTTCTGCTACCATTACTGTTGGTACTACCATTACTGCTGCTGCTACCATTACTGTTGGTACTACCATTACTGCTGCTGCTACCATTACTGTTGGTACTACCATTACTGCTGCTGCTACCATTACTGTTGGTACTACCATTACTGCTGCTGCTACCATTACTGTTGTTGCTAACATTACTGCTATTGTTAGCCTTATTGCTGTTGCTAATGAGCTAGTTATTACTGCGTGTATGTGCGCCTGCTCCTCGACCATGCCGGGTTGTGGGTCCCGTCAAAGTTCTCCACACTCGATGTATCTGTATCGAAAAATAATTAATTGCGTGATTAAACTCTAAAAAAAATTATAATTATGGAGAGCTGCATTTGCGGCCATATTTAATCAGGTGTGATTTTTTTCCACATTCATTTATTCGCGCTGCGAAAGAGTAATTTTTTGAGACCTATAACGTGGATATACGTATGGTTGGTTCATCATACTACCATTGTTAATGTGGCGTTTGTGGTTCAGTAATTTACGTATACAATATTTCATATATACATTTGTGACGAAGTGTAGATTATTGTTAAATATTTATTGTATTTGGTACATGGTGGATCAAATACCTTTATCGTTACCAAGCTACTTTATTGTCCACGTTAGCGTGCTCGTCCATTGTCTTATAACTACCTCCAAAAATAATTAAACATCACTGGACACAACTGACACTTGATGTTTCACTATCCCGCTTTCCTCTTAGGTCTTGAAGATTGGCTAATAATTTCTTCTCTATTGCACTTTTCTTATATATTCATCCCATCTTTGTCTTCTCCAATTACAACTTTTTTTTAAGAAATTATTGACATCTTTATAATAAAACGGCATGTCCTTTTTCTCATCTGTTTTTGTTCTTGTGCCGATGGTAGGCGGCAGTTTTGACGGAAACGACTTTGTTAGCCAGTTAGTGTGTAGAGTGTGAGGGAATGGTTCCAAGAGTCAAGCGCAGGACAGTAGATAAATAATGTGCTTTCGCTCCTTCAATTTTCTACCACCACCTCTGTCACCACCATCTCTATCACCACCATCACCGTCACCATCACCCCATCACCACAACAACAAGCACTGATTAACCTCCCTATTTCCATAGTTTTGCCCAGGGGATAAAATTTTACCCATGACTTAAAGCCCTTACCACCAACTTGACACAACCCCCACCACAACTACCACCACCACCTGACCCCCCCCCACCAGCACACCAACCTCACCACCACCACTACTAGTTTGAAAGAGATAAATGTCCTGTAAGAAAGATGAGAGGAGTAATTCGATTTATTTATTTGTTTATATACAATAAGTTACATTAGGTTTTTGAGAGTACATAGCATGATGTGTTTACATTCTTGTAAATCCACTAGTACGCACAGCGTTTCGGGCAGGTATAGTGTACAGATAGATGTATAGATATAATGAATCAGTATAGATATAATGAATCTGACTAGATGAATGTCACTAGTGAGGTCCCTCAAGGCTCATCACTAGCACCAATGATGACCGAACCACTCATCAGAAAGTGAAGAAACGACGACGTTTCGGTCCGTCCTGGACCCATTATCAAGTGTAACGGAAGAGAGGAAGGTACAGGCAAATATACAAGGTAAAAGCGTGAGAAGAGGTGAAGAGCAGGTAAGGTATTCATCTTTGTAGCACTGGGATGAATGTAAAAATAAGGTAAGAATAAGATGAATGTAAGAATGTTTATTGAATTCAGTCATATGAACATTACTTATGATATTAAGGCACAGGAGGATTAAACGACTGGCATACGCTTCGAAACAAAACAACACGAATGCACGAAGCAATGTACCAAATTAAATTCATTGTGGACAAGAGACTTGTAACAGAGAGCAGAATAAGTGGCTCCAGGCCACATTCAGTTTGCAGTTTATGTGAAAAGTCTTCAAAGAACTCGGGCAAGGGAAGAGATTTAGGGGTGATCTTGGATAATAAAGTGTCACCAGAGGGCCACATCACAGAGCGGGTCGTGTATGCCAACACCAGTCCAACCTTCACAACTTTATATGACAAAGATTAATGGTCAGAAGGAACGGCAAAATCATACATTGGAAACATTTTATGCCCGAGAACTTTTGCGCTCAAGTGTCTTTATTAAATATTCACCTTAATTTTAATTTACGAAGTAAAGGAACCATCACTCCATCATGTTCTTCTGTATTTGTTTTATATACATATTATTTATAAAATTATTAGTTATTAATTTATTTAGATATAAATACATTATTTATTATTTTATATATGTTATTTTTTAGATATATTTTTTTATCTACGTTTCACTGATTTTGTAAATAAAATAGATAACTTAGTTATGATTCAAATTTAAAAATCGATTTTAGGCTTATTCAAATGAAAATATATATAATACTTAACATAACATTTTCGAAAAATTCAATGTTCGATACAATTTTGCTTGTTAGGCAACTGTTGCTGTTACCTACCATACATATACATGCAGGTTGTTTGGTCTAAAGGTCAGCAACGTTGCGCATTGGACGAATGACAACATTATCTGACCTTCCTCTTCCCTCATTCTTTCTTATTATCATTCTTTCTTATTATCATTCCTCTTTTACCTATCATACCATTTATCATACCAGTATATAGAATGAGACTGTTGGTAGGCCTGAGGATTATCGGTACGTCACTATAAGACCAGAAGACGTAACAGACACGATCTGTACAAGATATATTTACAGGCAAGTGTGTATATCTTGTATATGATACATGTTATAAGTATTGTAAGCAATTATCCTTCTATCGGCACAAAAATATTCTGGACCAAAATATTTGATGATATTATTTGGTGTGGTTTTATTGTGTAGCGAGTACATAACGCATCGATGTAAACTATTACACACAATATTTCATTTAAGATCAATTATTCCTTTAGTGAAAGGCCGTTTGATCAGCGGAGCTGTTGTGCTTTGCACGCTGCTGCTGCATCATTAAATTCAGAAAGGTTATATATTTCATTTGCCATTAAAATATATAAATAATAATGTGCCAAAAAATGTAATTTCTTGGCTGTTTTGTAAGCTTACAGCCAAGCCTCACCTCAGCCAATTTGTTAAGACAAGCGATACTGGGAACTCTATGTATATGAAATGAGGCGTTTGGGTGGGATATTAAACAACTTGTGGGAGCTTCCTGCACGCCGCCCGGTCCGCTGTGTCCTGGTATGTTGTCAGATTTTTCCTCTTTGTTTTCCTTTTATCGTGAGTAATATGGTCACTCCCGTTTCATGAAATTTGCCGGCTGTTAGGGCTGAAAAGAAGCAGGTGTGAGTTTGTTTCATATATAATAAAGAGGTTAAGGCGGATATAGCACTGTTGTGGAGCGTGGCACTGCGACACGGCCCAGTGTGACGGGTGTGGCACTGTTATGACCCAGTATGTGGCGTTTGTTTGTGTAACCCAGTGTTGCAGTGGGGCACTTCCTCCAGAGCGACCCAGTGTTGTGGCAGTGGCACTTTCTGCAGGGCGACTAAGTGTAGCAACAAGGAGCCTTCAGAGCCTCGCCGCCTGACCTCACGCTGGCCACACGCTCCTGTTGACACAGCTGAGAGCGTTGGAGGGACGGCGGTGGGAGGCCGCTTGTTAGCAGGGGTCGTGACGTGATGTTGAAGAGGCTGGTGGTTGTGGTGGGGCTGGTGGTTGTGGTGGGGCTGGTGGTTGTGGTGGGGCTGGTGGTTGTGGTGGGGCTGGTGGTTGTGGTGGGGCTGGTGGTGGAGGGGCTGGTGGTGATGGGGCTGGTGGTGGTGGCAGGGCTGGTAGTGATGGGGTCGTTAAGAATAGAGGAGAAAGATGAGGCGTACCTTGTGGGAAAGCTAAAGGGAATTCCTGGAAATGGGAGAAAGAAAAGACATTCAATGTTGTGAAGGAGCAATCATCCGCCTCCTTCGGCAGGAGGCGGATGAGTGCTGACGCCGCCAGAGAGGAAGGTTGATGGCTGCTCTGTGGACAATATGGACAAGAGATTACGTAATTGTGGACACCTTGCTCCCGTGCCAATTGGAGTCGAGCTCGATTACTTGGCAGGACGGGACGTTTGGGCACGTTCCTGTACATCTGGTGGCTCCTAGCAGTAAATGGGTACCCTGGAGGTAGGCAACTGTTGTGAGCTGTATCCAGAAGGGAAGGAGGGAGGGATTATCAGGGGAAAAACCAAGACATTATCCTGGAAACTTCGATATACCGAACAGACTTCCTGTCCTCAACAGTGGGAAACCATACACTAAACAGACACACACAAAGGTCTTCGCAGCCGAGTGGACAGCACTCTGGGGTCGTAGTCCTAAGAGGTCCGGGTTCGATTCCTGGTCGAGGCAGAAACAGATTGGCCGAGTTTCTTTCACCTGATGTATTGTTCATCTAGCAGTAAATAGGTGCCTGGAAGTTAGACAGTTGCTACGGGCTGTTTCGGGGGAATGTGTGTGTGTACTCACCTAGTTGTGCTTGCGGGGGTTGAGCTCTGGCTCTTTGGTCCCGCCTCTCAACCGTCAATCTACTGGTGTACAGATTCCTGAGCTTCTCGAGCTCTGTCATATCTACATTTGAAATTATTGTGTGGAGTCAGCCTCCACCACATCACTTCCCAGTGCATTCCATTACTAACTACTCTGACACTGAAAAAGTTCTTTCTAATGTGTGTGTGTGTGTGTGTGTGTCTCTAATGTGTTGTGTGTGTGTGTGTGTGTGTGTGTGTGTGTGTGTGTGTGTGTGTGTGTGTGTGTGTGTGTGTGTGAGAGAGAGAGAGAGAGATAATTAGAATATATGGTAGAGGAAAAAATAAGTTGGGAGTCAGTACACTTGAGACTAGTCAACCGACGGTTAGCAAGACGGGGTCCGAGAGCTAACATCTTGATTCTGTAATCATAAAAAGTAAATAAATACACAACATGCATACGTACAAAAGTAAATAAATACACTTACTAACCATACGTATACTAACAATACACAAACACTAAACATTTACACTAACGATACACACACACACACACACACACAATAATGTTAAGTTTTCCATCTTCAGTCCGTTTGAATTTATGCGAAAGTCAGACTCCTTCGGCTTCCACACAAATCTACATCAGCACAGTGACTACTTTTCGGCTACAAGAACCTCTGGGAGTTTGCAACATCTGCTGATGAAGATTCGACTAAATATAAACTCTGTCAGCAAAACTATCCGCATACTTTGCGTCATTTTATATTGAAATGTGAAAAAATCGCGGAATTCTGAAATAACACCATCAGTGAAGTCTAAGAAATATGTAAGTACTTCATTCATAATGATGTACTGCCGGGAATCTTAGCGAAGTATTCACAATTTGCTTACTGTAGGAGCAGCCTCCACATGACTGTAAAGCTGCCGCCCAGTTGGGTGGGTGTGGAGCAAGACTAGTAATTGTCTAGGTGACTAGATTGACTAGTAATTACATCACCATATATATATATATATATATATATATATATATATATATATATATATATATATATATATATATATATATATATATATATATACACATGTGTATGTAACTTTAACAATTGTATAACTAGCTTCAAAAGAGTGTCACTTGCTTAGCTAAATGAACCATGGGGT